TGGTATGTATTTATCATTTATCTAGTTCTGAGTTTGTCAATTCAGATGTAGAAAAGTACTAATTACGGCCAAAAATGACTGTGTGGCAGCCTACATGAAAACGTCGAATTCTTTGCTGGCAAAATTCGACCATCATGAATTGAATCAAATAACCCGGGATTAGAACAAACATGCAGATGACCTGGCTTGCCTAGCCTCTGCCATCAACTTAGAAATTAAACGGACAATTGAAGTAGGATTCATCCCTGAGTCGAGCATTGCCCCTTCAGCGTCAATTCAGATCAATATCATAGAATCAGGTCCATATTGGATGGACCCTATCACTGCATTCCTATCTTCTGAACAGCTCCTGACAGACAAGAAAGAGGCGCACAAACTGCGAAAGAAAGCCCTGCGATATTACTTAGATCCGCAAGGAAAGCTCTACAAAAAATCCTTTTTTGGTCCATACCTAGAATGTGTTCATCCGAATAAAGTCGAGGAACTCTTGATTGAAATACATGAAGGTAGTTGTGGTGCCCATTTTGGCGGGCGTTCTTTGGCCCATTGAGCTGTAACACAGGGGTACTATTGGCCGACCATGAGAGCTGATGCCGAGTGTTACGTCAAAAAATGTGAACAGTGTCAGAAGTTTTCCCATTTAACTCATTTGCCTGCTGAGGAGTTAAGCTCTATCACCAGTCCTTGACCGTTCGCTCAATGGGGACTTGATATCGTCGGACCATTGCCACGGGCCCCAGGGAACAAGCGATTCTTGATTGTCGCGACAGATTACTTCACGAAGTGGGTTGAAGCCACTACAGGAAATAAGACAATTAACGGCGTTTAATTAACGGCGTTTTATTAAACGTCACGTTTGCTAATTTTTAACGGCGTTTTGCAACCATCGCATATTTTTCAAAACCAAAACGGCACCGTTTCCAATTGAAGGCGTTTAAAAGCGCCTCCGAATGCTGTAGCTACACGCGCCCCTTTATGAAACCCTTATTTTTTAATCTGAGTGCAAAGTGTAATAGCAATTTCGCGCACATCTCTCTCTCTCTCAGCGACGAAGAAGACGGAGGAGATCAATCGGCTGTTCTTGAAGCTTGAATACGCACACATCTCTCTCTTTCTCAATCCTTATACGCACACATTTCTTCATCGAAGCTCCATCTGCACCTGCGATTTCGAAGATTCAGAGCGATTTCGAAGATTCAAATCGATTTCGAAGCGATTTCGAAGCTCCATCGCCACCGTCATTTGCACCGGCGAGGTAGCGAGCTCCACTGTCTCTCTCTCTCTCTCTCTCTAGATCTATGAAATCAATGCTTTGAAGGCATTCTTACTTGAACCTCATTTGCAGAGATTCAGAGAGAGGCATTCTGACTTGATCCTCATTTACTGAACTTTAATCAATACTCTCTCTCTCTCTCTCTCTCTCTCTCTCTATTTCTTTCGAATTTTACTTCATGTATAACATTTGTATACATCAATATTTGTTGAATTGTTGAATTGATCTGTTAGGTTCTTTTTTGATCTCTCTATATACATATACATACAGGACACCCTATATCTCTCTCTCTGTCTCTCGCTCTTTTCTGGAAGTTCATTTCGATGGCGTCTGAAACCCTAGAAGACAAGAAACAAGAAGAAATAGCTAACGTCGAAGACAAAGGTGAAGTGAAAGAAGAAGGGAAAACAGAGGAGGGTGAAGAAGAGAAAGAAGCGGAAAAGAAAGAAGAGGATACGGAAATGGCGGAGAAGGAAAAAGAAGAGGAGGAGAAGGAAGAACTTGAGGTGAAAGGTGAAGAGAGTAAGGAGGAAGCAGAGGAGGTAAGCAAGAAGGCGAAGAGAGGCCGAAAGGGTAGTTCGAAGAAAGCTGCAAAAGATGAGAAGGCGGCGAAGAGTGAGCCCGGCTCAAAAGAGCCTGTTACGCCAATCGAGAGGCCTATCAGGGAGAGGAAGACTGTCGAGCGGTATTCGGAGCCTTCGACTGGGAGAAGTGCAAGCAAAGCATTGTCCATTGAGAAGGTGTTGACAGTAAATTTATGCTATACTTTTTTTTTCCCCTTAGTAATTGTGAATTTTCTCACATTGTGTTTTGTAAATATGCAGGGTCAAGGCACACAGCTTAAGGATATACCAAATGGTATGTATTTATCATTTATCTAGTTCTGAGTTTGTCAATTCAGATGTAGAAAAGTACTAATTATGGATTGACAGCTAGAATTTGAATTGCATCAATACAAATTTGTTGTTCCTCAATCTTATTTATACAATGAGCCGATATTGAATGAACTTTTAAATAGTTGAACACAAGTATGCATAAGCTATGTTATTGAGGGCTCAATTGCCATTGCAGGAGCTGCTGTTCACTGGCTCAGAGACGGTCTTGGGTTAATTAAAACTGCTAGTGAGATTGAGGACTTGGCTATGCAGGTTGACTCCACTGGTGGAATTTATTTTGTGCCGGCATTTAATGGATTATTTGCTCCATGGTGACGTGATGATGCTCGTGGAGTTTGTGTTGGGATTACAAGGTTTACAAACAAGTTTCACATTGCTCGAGGTGAAAGATGTGTTGGATTCAATGCATAAGGATGCAGGGGAGAATGGTGAGGTAAAAAATGAGAAGGGGGAATTCTTGCTTAGGGTGGAAGGTGGTGCTACTGTTAACATTTTTCCAAACATTTTTGTCATGATCTTGTGTTGTTCACGCATGATCTTCCTTAGGTAGTTAAATTATAAGTCTACTCTATTGTCATTTTAAGTTTTTTTGGGCATATTTTCTCTTTAGTTCATATTTTGATAATTGGCTGCTAATTGTTTTTCTCTCTATCCCAGTCATATATGTCACAGTTTCATTTTGAACTTGTGATTTGCAGACAGGAGTAATATACATGGCAAATGGAGGAGCAGACACCAACGGATCACAATTCTTCATTACTACTGTGACAACTAGCTGGTAATTAACTATGTACTCCTCTCTATAGGAACTTTTCCAGCATTTACTAGAGAAGTACACATCCTGCATAGGGGTGGCACTGTTTTGGTGGCCTGCCTAATCTAGCCCACATTTTTAAGGGTACAGTGTGTAGATTCTGCACTACTGGTTGATCAATATAGCGCATTTACTGGTACTAAAGCCTATAGTTTGTGGCCTGGCAGATTTTTTAACTACTGCATTGAATTTCAGTTTTTTATTTTTATTTATTTTGGGTACAGGTTGGATGGGCATCATGTTGTGTTTGGGAAAGTGCTTTCTGGGATAGATGTTGTCTCCAAGATTGAAGCTGAGGGCAGACAGAGTGGGGATCCCAGAAGCGAAGTTGTTGTTTCTGATAGTGGTGAATTACATTCCTAAATATGCTGCCGCTTTTCATAAATTGTGTTAAGAATGATGATTGTGAATTACTGGTACCTCTCTCTCTCTCTCTCTCACACACACACACACATGTGTACACACACAAACACATGAAATGCATGCTCACGCAGCCTGTACGACACTAGTTTATGTCTTAAGACAAATGCTCATTTTTCTTTCACTTTCTCACGCACGGTTCAGTGGTAGAGGCTACCAATCAAAGACTGATATTTGTTGGATAGAAATGCTGATTGTTATGTCATCGACAAAACTACCTTTGCCGATTGTTGAGTATATGCATGATCCTAAGAATTGGGGAAAGGGAGACACAAAATGATGGCAGAATGAAAACCATTTTACAAAGATGACTGCTTCTCTTGTCACAGGACTGAAGATGACAATGTGTAGCCAATTTTTCCAGCATCACTAAAAAAAATAAGGAAACCATCAACAATAAATCATTTTCCTTTTAGGCGGATAAGGATTTTTTTTACCAAAAAAAAAAATGAGGGTGTGGAGTAAATTTTTCACAACTTTATATTTGCCTCGGAGAAAAACTTTCAAAAAATATTTTGATATGATTGATTATCACCTTGTAACTAATGTGTTGGTAATTGTAGTAGTCATGGTAAGGGCGTGGTGGTGGTGGTGGGATAGTGTGGCGATGTTGGTAATATCTGAAGGAAAAAGTTTTCACCAAAAAAGAAAAGATTAAATTTTTCTCATGTTGGTCATTTCAAATGAGAATGTTTAGATTTGATAGGTTCGTTTTGGAATCGATTTCGTTGAGTAGAATATTTATACAAAAATTAAAATAATCAAATATTGATAATTATATGTTTAAATCAAATTTATATTACAAAAAATGGATGTTTAATCAATTTGATTTTTTGTGGAAAGTCTTTTATCTGCTTGCCTTAGCATTCCTGGATCTCAATCTTTTTGTTGTCATTGTTGACAGATTCAAGGATTATATCCCTGCAAAGTATCATTCCTTATATGAGCAGTACCTTAAAAGAAGTGACAACGCAGTCGCCATGTGAAGTAAGAAATTCTTCCATGTAAAGTATTTATATAAACCAAACCAAACCAAACTAAGACTTAAGTCCCATCATATCTTTTTTGTCCTTAACAGTACCTTGTTGAAATAGAAACAAATGTTAGCTATATACTTATATATATATATATAGAGGGAGCACCCAATTTGGTGTTCATGAAGTTTTGTGGACTTTTGTTTTCCAAAAGTAAAACCTGACTTTCCACTTACAAATAGTTACAACTACTTTATATATATATATATATATTATATTTTGTTAATTTGAGGTGCTTGCAGAACCAATACAGACTGTATGTTCCTTTCTTCTAGTTTACATATCATATTCAATCTGAATTTTTTTTGGCCCTCTCTACAGATTTGAAGAATTAATATTGTGACTGCTAAAGAAAATCTTTTAACTGAATGCCATCAATAGCTCATATTGAATGCTAGTGACAGTGATTGACTGATTTTATTTTATCTTTCCTTCTCGACACTTGTTTGAATGAAATAAACCATTCTATGATTTTACTTCATAGGTTGATATTCATTCTTGGTAAAAACTATCAATTATGTACCCTCAGATTGCCTCTTTCTTATTTATTAGGGGGGACAGTGGGTTGGGTTTGATTGCCTCTTTCTTATTTATTAGGGTTGAAATTTAAATTTGTGAAACCTAATTTGGTTCGAGATTGAGAATTTTTAAAAAAAAGCGCTCTAGAAGAGTTTTAATAGTTGTGGAGTTCGTATGTGATGTGATGTGTGTGTGTGTGTTTTTTACATGAGGGAGTAGGTGCTGCTAACACAACTTGGGACTCTAGAGCTTCTCCAGAAGACATGGAAAAGATGTGGAATCATCCTATTGTTAGTAAAGAGTGGAGCAAATCTGGGGAGAAACAGGGGAAAAGTGCGATTTTCTCACGATGCCGAGAATAGACCTTATCTTTCTCGGGTAGAGTTAAGGGTAAGATTAAATAATATGGATATGCAAAATATATATTTTCTTGCATGTATTTATCATAACTGGATATTTTGAATGCTTCCCCTGTTGCTATGTTCTTCTGCTACCCCCTCCCCCTTCATCTTCTTTGTTACTGGTCACCATTTTCCGCTTCATTGGTTATCTATAAGACAACTAAGAAAGCATAATTTATTTTCCATGACCAGTTGACAAACTTCACCCAATCTTTGAATAGTTACCATCAGCTACTGAATTAGGGCAGGTTTTGAACTTAATTTGAATAGTTATCTACTATTTGAATAGTTTTGAACATTTTCGTAGATGTTTTAGTCAGCTTGTTGTTTTGCTTGGAATTGCAGGCCGGAAATGGTGGTAGGATGGTATCATTCACATCCTGGATTTGGCTGTTGGCTCTCTGGTGTGGACATCAATACTCAACAGGTTGTATTCTATCTTCTTTTGTTGTTGTTGATGGTAGTAGTGGTACAATTATGTAGTTGACAATGTCCAGTATAGAGGTTGGATATTGAGTCATGGTAGAGAACCCCCTCGCCCTCCAAAAAGGCAACCTAAACAATTAGGAGAATTGAGTATGAGGTGTCAAACATAAGGCTTATGTGCTTACACAACTTCTGGGGCTTGTGTTCGTGCATATGCAGATGCACATTTAGCTAATCACTTGTTTCTCTTGTGCAATTTGATTGGCGATTTTGGACAGGAGGGATTGTGGTTGGTGCAAGATTCAAATGTACTTTGCTTAGGCTATGATTACATTGATGTTAATGAATTTGGATTTCCTGATGTTTTACTTGTGGAACTAATTCAACTTGGAGAATGATGTTTGTTAGAAGGGGAACTTATAATTTCTATGAATTAATTCATGCAAATTCTATGCTTATGAAGTTTTGATGCTTCAATTAGACAAGAATTCTCAGAAATTTTTCATGCCCCCTCTCTCGCTTTGTCTACCTGTGTGTGTGTGTTTTGAATTGGGGTAATTTTGTTATCATTTATTTCTGTCAAGAGTCAAGACCACCTTAATTATTGACATTTTGTGATATCATGCAGAGTTTTGAAGCTTTGAATCAACGTGCTGTGGCAGTTGTGGTGGATCCCATACAAAGTGTTAAGGGGAAGGTGGTCATTGATGCCTTCCGCTTAATTAACCCACAAACCATGATGCTTGGCCAAGAGCCAAGGCAAACAACGTCCAACCTTGGACATTTGAACAAGCCATCCATTCAAGTGAGTGCTGAATGAGTGGTGCCTTTGTGTTTCTGATAGCTGAGGTGTCACCCCTGAGTTTTATCCTCTAATGGCAATTTGTTTTGCAGGCATTGATCCATGGGCTGAATAGGCATTATTACTCAATAGCCATTAATTACAGGAAGAATGAACTTGAGGAGAAAATGCTACTGAACCTGCACAAGAAGAAGTGGACTGATGGCTTGACACTGCAACGATTTGATACCCATTCCAAGACCAATGAGCAGACTGTTCAGGTAAGTGAAGCTTTTTGTGAGGCCAAGAGTTTCATTGTCTTGTGTGTGTGTTGTATTTGGCACCTTTGCATTAAGGTGCAGAGGCTACACATTTTTTGTTTTTTTAACCTCAATTTTGAAAGATTTTTATCGTGGATTGTTGTGTTGCCTTTTGTACCTGAGAGTCAAGGTCCATAGAGTGTTGCTATCCTGCATAGATGCATAGGATCTGATGCTGAATGCCCTAGAATCAAAACAATAATATGGGAATGGTAATACAATCCAGTATTGAGATAGAAGTCCTTCAAGTGTTGCCTGTAGATTGCTTCAAGGGGTTAATCTAGTTTGTTTTTCTTATATCCTGAAGACCCAAAAATAAGACACTAATATGGAGATCAGTCATGACATGGATATTATGTTTCTATTAATTTTTTTTTTTCTCTTTGCCGAGTTTGTTTTTCCAACTATATACTAGAAGGCTAAAAATCTGGCCTTTTAATTTGTAGTGCCTGAAGAGATAACTCAAAAATCAACTTTGGAATGCCTCAAATCAAGTGCATTATTACTCTCCTAAACTTCCTTATTCTGTCATTTCATTCTTCATTGCATTTTATAATTTCACTAATGTTGCTCCCTTGGGGTTGAAGTGTTCTGTCAGTTGGATTGTTTTCCATAGGAAGTTTTTGTGTGGACAAAATATATCTTGTTGCTTGATAGCTAGACGCACCCATGGGTAACTTATATAGGTTCCTCTATCCATGGGGATGACTTATTCCTCGGTTGTAAGAATAAAGTAATTTGCTCACTGCAGATAAAATCATTTACCATTTGAGATTGTATTTGGAGTCCCTTGAAGCCCCTTTAATTGGATTTGTTTGAGGATAACCCTCACAGTTCCCTGTATGGTTGACTAGAAAAGTGCCAAAATCTATGAAAGCATATGCTTCTAATAGGTCGGTCAATTTGCAAAGTCAAGGCACAAAAAAATTGAAGGAATTTAGTAAGGAACATTACCATGCATGTTCCTAAATTCATCAAAAGAAAAATTGATGCCTTAAATATGACAATAACAAATTAAGCATGCTAAAGGGCGTGTTCAAAAAATTGAATCACTGGATGAAACCGACACATTTGGACTTTAAACCGAATGATTATGGTCGCGTTTCAAAAAGCCTTTGCATGGTTAGCTCAGTTTTCTTATATCTTATATGTATAAAATTCATCAATGTTTCGGTCGGCTTATGGGTTTTAATTACCTTGGGATTTGAAATAAAACCGAACCACCGGAAAAAATCCAAGCTCTAGTAGTTCTAGTCAGAATGAGACTGCAGACCACACCAAGACGGAAAGTCATTACCCGGATCCACGCGGGCATCATGGCATCCACTCAGGCAGTTTTTCCTACCCACAATCACGTAGCGGTAGTTACATCACATGGCTCTATTTCAGCTGGTATGTATGACTTGGCTTGATATTTTCCAACTTGAGCAGGTAACTATAGTTTGC